AGGAAATGGCTGTTTAATTAGGGAAAAGCGCCGCATGACAACGAGCGGGGAGTTCCCGCCTCTCGGCGCCGCACCGCTGGCTCCAGCACAGCTGGGAAATGTCCGAACTGCTGGAAAATAACTTTCCCTCCTGGTTTTCCCAGAGAGATGAGAACTCTGCGCTAGTGTGCGGCTCTCCCGGGGCCGGACAGCTGGTTTCACTTAGATTTGTGTGCGACCAGCCTTCCCGGCATCTTCCTGCTATTTTATCACATGTCAGCGAGTTAGTTTTACCGTATAAGGACTGCGGGCTGCTCCTGGGAGAGGTGGAGCCACGCTAACTCCAGCTTCCCAGTAGCCCCGTCTCCATAGCTTTGGAATCTTGCTTAATTAAAATATGACTTAAAAGTGGCCTGTCTAGTGGAAGGAGCTGCAGGCTGCCACAGAACAGATGCCAGCTTTCTACACGATCGCTGCCTTGTGTGTAAATCGAGAAAGCTAAACACTGGGCAGAAAACGAAGGGAATGCCGGATAATTTGTGACTAGAGGAATCCTGGCTCGGCTTCCATTTGGATCCATCACTGAAATCCTTTCCAAGATGGTACAGCTATGAACGGAAACGACTTCCTCCAGCTTTGGAGGAGCGGTCAGTAACCAAATTTGAGAAGCTGCAGCAAAGCAAGTATTTTTTCCAAGTGTTTAACATCCAGCATCGAACAATGGCCCGTCCAGGATCTGTAGCCTGTAAACGTGGTTTTAAAAAGCAAAGGTTAATCTTGTACATGGCAAATCATGCTCAGATTTGGGGACAACTAAGTGCACAAACCTGGCAGTGATTGAAGCAGGGGTTTATTTTCCTACAAAACACAAACAGCTAAAGGAGGCATAACTTAATGATCGCGGCATATTTACGGATGCAGGTTTGTTCATGTTGTCTGCGAGCACTTCCCCCGACCATCCATTTATTACCTCGTCTGGTTTTGAAACATTAATAGCGTTTCCAATTGCTGTGCAGTTTATTCAAGAACGTATAAACAGACCCTGTCATTAAGAAATGCTTTCTGCCTAATTCCATAAGTACCACAGGAAGCAATGAAAACGGAGAGTGACTTATTTGAAGAACACATCTCATTTTTGTTGTGCAGAAGCCTGGCTTTCCCGTGCTGAGGCCGGCTGTCTGCCCAGCTGACCGCGTAACGATTAGACAGCGTTTGCAGGCTCTGGAGCCCCGAACGGATAATGAAATGGCTCCAACTCCAGCACTGTGCTGTGACGGGCTGTTGCTGTGATCTGCTGAAACCAAGAACGGAGAAATCAACTGTGAGGTTTTGGGAACAAGCCATTATGGAAATGGTTTGGTTTTTAACTGGAATCCTATGGGTAGGTCCAGCCCTGTGAAGTGATCCGAGAATAATTCTCCTTGGCAATCTGTGGGATCCTTTGTTGTGTGGCAGGAATGATAAGTACCATTAAAAAAGGAGAAGCACATACTCCATACCTTGAAATTCCTGAGATGCCATAGTTGAAACAAGCACAGAGTAGGGGCAGAAAGGTTCCTAGAGCTTCCCTGCACGTGGCAAGGAGAAGCCTTTGCAATTGTAAGGAAACTGAGGAGTTGAGAATGTTTGTCAGGCAGCACCTGGCTTGTAGGTAACCTCCACTGCGGGTGGCTGTATTTCACACAGGCTGAAGGTGAGGTGGCAGCTCTGAACAGACGTATCCAGCTAGTGGAAGAGGAGCTGGATCGTGCCCAGGAACGGCTGGCCACAGCCTTGCAGAAACTGGAGGAGGCTGAGAAAGCAGCGGATGAGAGCGAGAGGTACCTTTCCGTTTCTTAGTTTGCTGTAAAAAAATTGAATATATATGAATACTCCTGTGTAATTCAGTATCTGCGCGTGCTACTGTGTGCTGCAGGTCAGACCCAGAGCTAGAGGGGCCTTCTCATACACGTAAATGAGGTATTCTCTTAGCCCTGAAGGACACGATAGTATGGTCATAATGGGCCACTTTGTGGTTACAAATATTGAATTCCACTTCAGGACCTTTGAGATAAAAGTGCTGAAATGCTTCTCCGTTAAACACACTTGCTTTGACTTCTGCAGAGGAATGAAGGTTATCGAGAACAGAGCGATGAAAGATGAAGAGAAGATGGAAATTCAGGAAATGCAACTGAAGGAGGCCAAGCATATTGCCGAAGAAGCTGACCGCAAATACGAAGAGGTAAAAGGGATAAGGAAATGATAAGTACAGGGGAGAACTGTGAACAGCTTTGTTACTCTTCAGTTCCGTCGTTTGTCGTGTGCTTCTCACTATCATGGGTCAGCTTCATATTCCCAAAAAGGGGTCAGTTTAATAGCGACTTTAGCAGCACCGTAGATATTTAATGCCAAGAACACTGCAAAATAGAACTGACTTGGGGGAGAAGTGTCATGCCTGTGCATGCTTTAATGTAATTCCACTGTTCGGAAGGAAAGCACCAGCGTGGTCCTTTGTGCAAGAAATTACAGACTGGCTTGACACAGCCGTTTTCTCTTTCCAGGTTGCCCGTAAACTGGTTATTTTGGAGGGTGAACTGGAAAGAGCTGAAGAGCGTGCAGAGGTGTCCGAAGTGTGAGTAACTTCATACACATGGAAGCGGTTCTGAACAGAGCAAAGGTCAAAGCTGTATTTCATTAGAAAAACCTACTACCGGTAGGCAGGCGTGTAGTACATGCAGAAAAGCTTTTTGTGTACCCTCTGTACCCTATTTTCTCCTTTCAGGTTTAATAATTATGTCTTCACCTCTTGTATTTTTAGACTTCTTGAGAATTAAGTCATAACAGGGACAGTAGTAATTTATCCTTTTGGTTTTTTCCCTGTAGCAAGTGTAGCGACCTTGAAGAGGAGTTAAAGAACGTCACTAACAACCTGAAGTCTTTGGAAGCTCAGTCTGAGAAGGTTGGTTCTTTCAGTAAACGAAGAGGCAGGGCAAAGTTAGAACTTGTCAGTAAAATTCACAGCAATAATGGAGAAATAAAGGGAAGGGAAAGGGTTTCGCTGACTGCGGGTTCAACAGAGACCGTCGATACCACTGAATGTGTTGTGCCCAAAGCCAAGTCAGTAACCTGGTCGTTATCTGCAACGCTGCTTCAAGCCAGGACCTCAGTCTGTCTCCCACACTGCTCCTCATGGCTCTTTAACGTGGTTCTTGCCCTCTAAATGGTGAAAACTGTTAAAACCCTTTATTTCATTGAACAGTTGTTGCTGACAAGTCTGAATTGGTACGGAAGGCTTCCTGTTCTCTGGCACATTCAGCTGGTTTTGTGCTGCACAGGAGGGTGAACCCCTTAAGGCCTGAGATGAGGCACGAAGGAACTGGGGCACCCCTGCTCCTGAAATGATGGTTGATGAACCAGAGGTTGAAATGTCTTGGTGAAAAGCAGGGAAAGGGTGTCTGTAGCTGCTGTAAAAGGAAAAGTGGTTATAAATAGGTCACAGTTTCATAAACATTACTGTTGCTACAACTTCCCTTAAAGAGTGTTTATTGTTTTCACAGTACTCGGAAAAAGAAGATAAATACGAAGAAGAAATCAAGATTCTCTCTGACAAGCTTAAAGAAGTAAGTATGTCCGTCCCCAGACTGCACTTTGGCATCACGTTTTTAACAGCATCCAATTACTCTACTGAATTTTTATTTTAGGCTGAAACTCGTGCTGAATTCGCGGAGAGAACCGTTGCCAAACTGGAAAAGTCCATTGATGACCTGGAAGGTATGACATTACTCCGTTTCCTTTACAAGTGGTTGATTTCAAACCAGAAAACAAAACCCTTGGAGGGGGTTATTAGATTTTATTGGGAAGGACAGGCAGGCTCGCGGGGCGTAAGGGTAGACGGGTGCGATGCGTCCCCTGGGCACGTGTGGTGCCTCCCAGCAGGGGAAGTTCTCCTGAAAGAGGTTCCCTTTTGAGAAGCTGGTAACAATAACCCAAATTTAGCCAACTCACTGATACACGGACTGGGGGGCACTTTCTGGTAATAACAGACCACGACCCTCCTTGGTCCGTTTTCTGAGAAGTCACCGCGTGAGATTTCAGAACGGAAACACTGGGCAAGGTTCTGAGCTGGCTGCTGTGTGCGGTTCTTGCTTTCGTACTGGTACTCAGTTACCCATCTGTCTCCTTCTTTTGTTTCCCCCCAACTGCTCTGGCTGCTGCCTTCTGACTGTCCTCTGCTCTGCGCCTCCTCTCTGGACTTTCTCCTGCATTTCCTGCTGCGCCGTGCCTCCCGCCCTCGTGACCGATAGACGAGCTGTACGCTCAGAAGCTGAAGTACAAAGCCATCAGCGAGGAGCTTGACCATGCTCTCAATGACATGACCTCCCTGTGATCTGCCCCTGGGGGGCGCGGGGGCCGCTCCGCCTCGCTGCGTTAAGCTTCTCTTGCCTGTAATACCTGTCACTTCTGCGCAGCTTCCACAGATCCTTGCGCCTCCTCTGTGAGGACTGAGCTCAATAAAAACAAGGCACCTCCACTTCCAGCTTCTGGGGTTTATTTCCTTGTAACTCACCTAAAAAAAACCCATCAGTAACGACACCGAAGGCGTGTTCAACTCCTC